TAGACCCCCTCCCCCCTCAGGTTCCTGCCCCCTCAGGTGTGTCCCAGGTAGACGCAGTTGACCCGGTCGAGGTTACTGGTGACTCTGGTGCTGCTGCGGGTACTGGGCCTGGGGGTGCTGACTCTGGGGGTGCTGTGCGCCGGGGTGCCGAGCCTGGAGGTGCTGCTACTGGGGGTGCTGAGGCTGGGGGTGCTGGGCCTGGGGGTGCTACTGCGGAGGTTGCTGAGCCGGGGGGTGCTGTGCCTGGAGCTGCTGAGCTAGGTGGTGCTGGGTCTGGGGGTGCTGGGTCGGGAGCTGCTGAGCCTGGGGGTGCTGCGTCTGGAGCTGCTGAGCCTGGGGGTGCTGAGTCTGGAGCTGCTGAGCCTGGGGGTGCTGCGTCTGGAGCTGCTGAGCCTGGGGTTTCTCCTGCTGCTGCGTCTCGCCGGGAGCCCCTCTCTCCACAGGAGCTGCGCGAGTGGTTTGCTCGCCGCTGGAGGCGTGCTGCTGGAGCTGGAGCTTCTTCGACCGTCGAGGGTGCTGGTGCTGCCGGTCCCGGAGCTGCTGGGCCTGCGGGTCCTAGTGGCGCTGGAGCTGCTGAGGGTGTTGGTGCTGAGACTTCTGCTGTCTATCCTGGCGGTGGTTCTGCTGCTGGTGCTGCTGGAGGTCCTGCCGCTGGAGGTGTTGGTGGCGCTGGTGCTGTCGCTGGGGGTGCTGGTGCTGTCCCTGCGGAGTCTGGAGCTGCCGCGCGGCCTCGGCCGTACTTCGTTCCGCTCCTGCAGCAGGTTCTTGGTCTTTCTCCTCCGGTAGAGTGTCCACAGCCCGTCCAGTCGCAGTCACTGTTGGAGCCTTCCTCTCCACTGCCTGCTCCCTCTCCTTACACTGGTCCTACTGGAGGTCTTGCTGAGCGTCGTGAGCCTGCGTCTCGTCCCACGTCGCCTGTTCGTCCTGCTCGCGCTAGTGGTCGCGGTTCGCGTCAGCGTCCTCCTCCTGTCCCTGGCACGCACCGGATGTCTTTGCGTCCGTCCACTGCTCCTCTGCGTGCCCCTTTGCCTTCTCCTCCTGAGTCCTCTCTTCCTGCGCTTGCCGACCCTGAGTCGGACTCCCTTCGTGCTGCCAGTCCTACTGTCACGCGTCTGCTTGCTACTGTCGTCACTGACCCCTCTTTTGAGTCCACTGCTGCGTCTGCTCTTGTCGCTGAGCTCGTTGACTTTGCTGCTCGCTGTCGTCTAGACTACGCTGCTAGTCTTGTTGGTGAGTCTGCGTCTGTCTGTCCTCCGTCCGTCGGGGGTGAGTGTGCCCTTGGCACGGACGTCCTAGAGGACAGGCAGGAGGAGTTAGAGTGTCTGGCGGCTGCTTCACCTCATCTCGCGTCTGTACTGCTTGCTCCTGAGGGAGACCCGGATGCACTAGACATCCCGACTCCGCGCTCTTACGCGGAGGCCGTAGAGGGTCCCTACTCCTCTCAGTGGCAGGAAGCTATGGATGCAGAGATGGCTTCCAGGAAGTCCACAGGCACCTACGTTGACGCAGTTCCCCCTCCTGGGGCGAACATCGCCAGTGGCATGTGGATCTTCAGGGTGAAGCGGCCGCCGGGCTCTCCACCTGTCTTCAAGGCGCGGTACGTTGCTCGTGGCTTCAATCAGCGGCAGGGAGTTGACTACTTTCAGACCTTCTCTCCCACCCCGAAGATGACCACTCTTCGGGTGCTAATGCACATAGCCGCTCAGCGCGACTACGAGCTTCACTCTCTCGACTTCAGCACTGCGTTCCTGCAGGGTAGCCTGCACGAGGAGATCTGGCTGCGCCGTCCACCTGGCTTCACTGGGACTTTTCCTCCTGGCACCCAGTGGAGCCTCCGACGGCCAGTCTACGGTCTCCGCCAGGCACCGCATGAGTGGCACGACACACTGAGGACTACTCTTGCGGCTCTTGGGTTTGCTCCTTCTACTGCTGACCCGTCGCTATTTCTGCGCACCGACACTTCACTGCCGCCGTTCTACATCCTCGTGTACGTCGACGACTTGGTCTTTGCCACAGCGGACACTGCTGGACTCGCCTACGTGAAGTCCGAGCTGCTGAAGAGACACACGTGCACAGACCTGGGTGAACTGCGCAGCTACCTTGGCTTGCAGATCACTCGGGACAGAGCACGCCGCACCATTACCTTGACTCAGTCACACATGGTGCAGCAGGTCCTTCAGCGCTTCGGCTTCACGTACTCCTCGCCTCAGGCCACTCCTCTGTCTACTCGTCACTCGCTCTCAGCTCTGCCTTCGGATGAGTCCGTAGAGTCGAGTGGCCCGTACCCAGAGCTTGTTGGCTGCCTCATGTACCTGATGACCTGCACACGACCTGACCTTGCATACCCTCTAAGCATTCTTGCACGCTATGTTGCTCCTGGGAGACACCGACCAGAGCACATGGCTGCAGCGAAGAGGGTATTGCGCTACCTGTGCAGTACGTCGGGCATGGGGCTAGTGCTTGGAGGGCGGAGTCCAGTGGTCCTTACAGGCCACGCTGACGCTTCTTGGGCTGACGACCAGGCTACGCAGCGGTCGTCACAGGGTTACACCTTCAGTCTTGGTTCCGGCTCTGTCTCGTGGCGGGCTACTCGTTCGTCTTCGGTTCTCAGCTCCAGTTGTGAGGCTGAGATCTACGCCGGGGCCATGGCTGCACAGGAGCTTCGCTGGCTCACCTACCTGCTGACTGACCTTGGAGAGCCGCCTCGTTCTCCTCCAGTCCTGTACGTAGACAACAAGGCCATGTTGGCCTTGTGTCAAGTGCAGCGTCTGGAGCACAGAACGAAGCACATTGCTCTTCGTTACTTCCTTGCTCATGAGCTACAGCAGCGTGGACAGTTGCGGCTTGCTTACGTGGCCTCTGAGGCCAACACTGCTGATGTCTTCACCAAGGCACTCGCGCCTTGTGACCATCAGCGCTTCTGCACCCAGCTGGGTCTTGTGCCTGTCTTGCCTCACTTGCTCTCCTCTTGACTTTACTTGTACTGTGACATATATATACCTGCTCTTGCTTGTCTAGTTTTATATATATATGTCTGTACTCCTGCATGTGAACTGGCCTCTGGCCCTGCTCTTGTGCTCGGACTGTGTGGTGACTTTGTGATCCACCCTGAGCTTGCTTTGTTTTACTTTGCTTGACTGGTCTTGTGACCCCTTGTTCTCCTCCACTTTGCCTATGGGGGTGTGTCAGATATATATGACATAGCTGTTGTAGGCTATAGTGGGGTAGCACATATGGGGTACAGCTCTCTAGGGTTTGTATTTGTACCAAACGTTCATTTAGTCATTCATTCCTGTTCTACTATTCTCACACACAATTCGTGCACACAGTTGTAGCCACGTGTCCAGCATACAAGGTGTTGCCACGGGGGCTATTTGTACCCTGGTTACACACTCGGGAAAGTATATCCCAGCTCCATAGTTTCAAAAATATCTCAAATTTAGTCTTAATTCCACTAAAAAAGTACAGCTTTCTAGAAGTTTGCTCACGCGAGGCCCAGATTATGTTCAAAACTGGTCCTGCGAGGCAAACTTTTCGACACGTGTCCTGTTTCTTATTAGCAATTTTTGACGGGGGCAAAAAACATAAAACCCCTAGGGGAACCAGGACACACGTTCGGGAGGGACCAACCCTAAACATGGGGACCCGCTTGGTGTTTAGGGTTGATCCCTCCCGCAAATGTGCCCTAGGTCCCGAGGGGTTTTATTATTTTTTGCCCCGTCGAAATTTTTTCAAAGCGAAATTGGACACGTGTCGAAAACTTCGCCCCGCAGGACCAGTTTTGAACATACTTTGGGCCTCGCGTGAGCGAAATTCTAGAAAGTAGTAATTTTTTAGTCGACCCGCGGCTAAATTTGAGAGAAATCTGAAAGTATGGACCTGGAATATAGTTTCCCTACACACTCGGCGCGGAAGGTGCGTTGGAGCTCTAGGTCCTTGTAAACCGAGGCGCAAAATGTTGACGTGGCGCACCGTCAAGACGAGCGAACCGGGTAACCTATGATGTTGACGTGCGGCTCGGCTCGTTTTTACAAGTTCGAATGTCGGGGTTCGACCTTGTATGTGTGTGTGATTTTTTACAGTGTGGTAAGCCCGATGTTCGAACTTCGATAGAAGGAAATTCGAACTTCTTTCGTTGTAAGTTCGAAACTAAAAATCGCCCTAAAATCATAAACTTTTACAAATTTCAAAGACCTCACGCGCCCTAATTGCTGGAAGCCACATTTCTTCGTGCAATGAGGAAGGAATATTTCAGCAGGCTGGCGTCAAAAGGAAGTCTTGGCGTGGGTGAATGGCGTGTGCCTGAAGAAATGACACGGAGGGATGGATGAACAGAAAGAGCGAGAGGATGTCGACCGAAACGCGAGATCAGTGGTAGCGTTGGCGAGATTCCCAGCCAACGCCAGGCATCTCTGAATAGCCATGGCCGTGTGAGAGCTGGGAAAGCTGGGACATTTGCTGGCTGGATGTCGAACCATGCATTCCTGCTAATGAAGGGTCCTTTTCGTTCACACTTGGGCTGTCTCTCGAGGACGCAACATTCCTGCCCAGACGAGCTACGTGTGCTGTCGCACAATTTTTGCGAAGGGTAACGGGGTTTCATAATAGCCAGCTGTGATCACAGGGTGCTTGTGATCACAGAGGGCCGCGTGGAGCTGTGCATGTGCGAAACTTGCGAGGGTCGTGTGTGCTGCGAACTCCTTGTTTGTTTCCTGAAAGGGCAGTTTCATTTTGAATTACAGCAGTGTTGCGAGTGTACAAATATGTTGACTTCTCGTAGTGGCTATTTTACATGTCTGAAATTTCAGTCACATGAATTTTTGGCATCCTCCCGCACATCTATGTATAGGGCATGATAGGATATGTCTAGAACTTTATTTGTATATAAAATTCTCCATCATTGCCTACCCTACAATGAGGCTTTTCATGCACAACAAAGTGCCAATGGGTACAACTCAGAAAAGGCATAGTGTTTAAAGTCCTGTTACAGATTATCTATTTCAGGTGATTATTTGGAAATACCAGGTGTAGTATATGAAACCACCCAGAAGAGCGGCACCAGTGCTGAGCAGGGGCAGCAGCACGGGGAGGAACTGGCCGTCCGTCTCAAAGAGGAAGTTGGGGAGGTTCATTGAGAAGGCTGCTATGATCACAATGGTGATAGACAGGACTGTGCCTGTTGCTGTTATCAGCACCTGAAGGTGGGGAGGGGAGGAGGTGGTAGATAGCATGGGAGGGAATATAGGAAGAGGGAGGAGGGGACGCAGAGGTTTTGGGAGGTTTGATAAAAAGGCGGCAAGAATCATCATGACGACATGACTAGTAACAAGAACCACATGACACATGCTCTACTTCCCCCTTCCTCTCATACCCCCCTGCATCCATCCCCCCTCTAAACCCCCCGTTCCCCCCACCCCAAGTCCCCAACCCCAGGATGAGCTGCCACGCCAGTCACTCCTGCCACGTCAGTCACTCCTGCCACGTCAGTCACTCCTGCCACGTCAGTCACTCCTGCCACGCCAGTCACTCCTGCCACGTCAGACACTCCTGCCACGTCAGTCACTCCTGCCACGCCAGTCACTCCTGCCACGCCAGTCACTCCTGCCACGTCAGTCACTCCTGCCACGTCAGTCACTCCTGCCACGTCATCAGCACCACGCACCTGCATCCCCTGCAGCTGGTTCCTGCGGTAGTCCAGCTGCGTGTTCACATAGTCCTCCGTGTCGTCCACGTACTCATGGAGCTGGGGTGGGCGGTGGGGATGGGAGGCAGGGCGAGGGTAGGGGTACAGTTGGATGGCCTGCTCTTCACTGCGTGTTCACATAGTCTTCCGTGTCGTCCACGTACTCATGGAGCTGGGGGAGAGAGGGGACAAATGGGGGCAGAGAGCAAGGAGAGGTAAGGTGTGAGTATGTAGTATGCAGGTATCCAGATGGGTGATCACATAGCCTCCACATCCTCCCCTCCTCCTCCACAGCAATCCAGCAGCACACCCATTCCACAGCAATCCAGCAGCACACCCATTCCACAGCAATCCAGCAGCACACCCATTCCACAGCAATCCAGCAGCACACCCATTCCACAGCAATCCAGCAGCACACCCATTCCACAGCAATCCAGCAGCACACCCATTCCACAGCAATCCAGCAGCACACCCATTCCACAGCAATCCAGCAGCACACCCACCCACACATCTGAAAGAAGGGCAGAGCCCATGTCAGCTAGATATTCAATGTCTAGCTGAGTGTCAACCAATCACAACAGTGTCGGTAAGCAATTGGTCCACCTGAGTGAAATACGCCTCCAGCACCATATCCAACTCCTCCACTTTCCCCCCCCCTCCACAGCAACCCAACCCAGCAGCACACCCACCCACCCGCACACGTCAAACAAGAAAAGACAAAGCACGTGATATCTATATTCACTCACCGCTGTTAAGTCGTTTATAGTTGGTCGACCTGGGTGAAATACGCCTCCAGCACACGTGTAAACAGAGATGTTTTGAGACGTCTCAAAACGCCTCCAGCAGCATATCCAAGTCCTCCACGTCCTCCCCTCCTCCCACCAGACAAAGCACAGACAACCCAACCCACACACACGTCAAACAAGGACAGACAAAGCACGTGATATCTATATTCACTCACCGCTGTCAAGTCATTCAGGAGTCGGTCCACTTGCGTGAAATACGCCTCTAAAAGCATCTCCAATTCCTCCACATCCTCCCCTCCTCCCACACTCACCACACTCGAACTCACACTGCTCCCCGACCCCTCCCCCATTCCCCCCCTCGGCGTTCCCCCCATTCCCCCCCATGCGCCTCTGCCAGAGCTGCGGAAGCTTCGGCCGGTGACAGGGAGGAAGGAAAGCGAGTGAGTGAGCGAGTAAGGGAGCGAGTGAGTGAGGGAGTGCGTGAGGGAGTGTGTGGGGGAGTGAGTGAGGGAGCCCCTGTGACTAGAGACGGTAGGGGGAAAGGCAGGCCCAGCAGCAGCGGGCTGGATATGAGGAGAGAGGGAATTGGGAGGAGGAGAAGAAAGGTCAGGTGGAGGGGAATGTGAAGGTGAGCGTGAGAGTGAGTGAGAGGGTGTTGGAGAGTGTGTGGGAGTGTGTGCTGGAAAGTTTGAAGGAGAGTGTGGGGGAGAGTGTGTGGAGGAGTGTTGGGATGAATGTGCAGGAGAGGGAGATTGTGCAGGAGAGAGTGGGTGAGCGCGTGAGGGAGAGTGTGAGGGTGAGTGTGAGGGCGAGTGTGAGGGAGAGTGTGCGGGAGAGGCGGGTAGAGTGAGCCATTGCAGCTGGCGTGTGAGATAGAGATCCGCCATGTCCCTGTCGTCATCGAGTAGATGCTCCAACTCATCCCGCACCTGCACCGAGGCAGAACAAGGAAGGGGGACAATGGGAAGGACAGAGAGAAAGGGTAGAGGGAGCACAAGGGCAGCACAGTGTGAAGGTAGAGGTAAAGGTAATGGTCTGCCATGTCCCGCAGATGCTCCAACTCGTCCCGCGCCTGCAGGAATGAGGGCAGAGGAGGCACAGGGAAAGGGAGGGGAGCAAAATAGTGTAAGAAAGCAGCAACGCAGTGTGGGGTAGAGGTCTGTCATGTCCAGCAGATGCCCCAACTCGTCCCGCGCCTGCAGGAACAGAGCAAGAGGGAAACAGAAGGGAGGGAGAAGAGCAGGTAAGGAAAGGGAACGGGACAGAAGGAGGTAAAGGTCTGCCATGTCCCTGTCTATCGTTGTCTAGTAGATGCTCCAACTCGTCCCGCACCTGTTTAGCTGCCTGCCTCACCCTCTACATCCCTCATCTCACATCCCTGATCTCACATCCCTCATCTCACATCCCTCATCTCACATCCCTCATCTCACATCCCTCATCCCTCATCTCACATCCCTCATCTCACATCCCTCATCTCACATCCCTCATCTCACATCCCTCATCTCACATCCCTCATCTCACATCCCTCATTTGCACACGCCAAGTCAACACAATCAGCCAATTCTTCACCCCCCTCACGGCTTCCAGGCTGGCCGTGCCGAGCTGACAGCCCTGGTGAGCGCGTTCGTTACTAATGTGAATGCCTCACCCTCTGCCTCACCCTCTGCCTCACCCTCTGCCTCACCCTCTGCAGGCGCCAAGTCAGCACGGTCAACCGATTCTTCACCCCTCTCACGGCCTCCAGACTCGCCATGCTGACAGCCCTGGCGAGTGCGTTACAGTGGCAGTGCCTCAATCATCTTAAATTTTGCACACGCGAGGTCAGCACGGTCAACCTATTCTTCACGCCTCTCACCGCCTCCAAACCCGCCGTGCTGACAGCCCTGGCAAGCGCATTCAGCGCCGCATACGCGTCTCTCTCCAGCTCCAGACACCCCCCCTCCAGCTTCCGGCTCACCACTGCTTCTAGAGTGAGCTCCTTGCTTACTGCTTACCCACACTGGCAGTGCCTCTCACCTACCCTTCTGCCTCACCTTCTGCCTGCCTCATCTTACCTTCTGCCTGCCTCATCTTACCTTCTGCCTGCCTCATCTTACCTTCTGCCTGCCTCATCTTACCTTCTGCACACGGGAGGTCAACACAGTCAACCTGTTCTTCACGCCTCTCACGGCCTCCAGGCCTGGCGTGCTCACAGCCTGGGCCGGTGCATTCAGCGCCGCATACGCGTCTCTCTCCAGCTCGCGGCACTCCCCCTCCAGCCTCCTGCTCATTTCCTCCTCTAGAATCTGCTCATCTTTCTATGGTTACTACACCGGCAGTGCCTCACCTACTCTTCTGCCTCCCTATCTCACCTTCTGCACGCGGGAGGTCAGCACTGTCAGCCGGTTCTTCACCCCTCTCACAGCCTCCAGACCCGCCGTGCTGACAGCCCTGGCAAGTGCATTAAGTGCAGCATACGCATCCCTCTCCAGCTCGCGGCACTCCCCCTCCAGCCTCCTGCTCACCACCTCCTCTAGAATCTGCTCCAACACACGGAACTCGAACGGTAAAGGCTCCTCCTCCTCCTCCCCATCCTCCTCGGCTGCTTTTGTATCCTTCTTCTCCTCCTCCTTCTCTTTCTGTTTTTTGCTCTCTTCCTCCTCCTCCTTCTCGCTTTCACTCTCCTCCTTATCTCCGAGCCTTACAACATCTGCTCCCGCTCGTTTTCCTGCTCCTCCTTCCCCTTCCCTTTCTCCTCCTCCATGCTCCCGTCCTCTCCCTCCATCTGCATCTCCTTCTTTTTGTAATTCACCCTGCCCTTGTGTCCCCACATGATCATGTGCATGTGAATGTGCCTGCACCTGTGTCCTATTCCTCCCCCCTCCTTCTATCTGCGATTGTGTCAGCATCGATTCAGGTCCCACAGCGTGCGTCCGTGCCTGTGCCTGTGCCTCATCCCTCCCCACTTCCGCCTCTGCCCGCGTGTGTGATTCCACAAGATCGTGAGTCCGTGCCTGCTCCTGCATCTTCGTCTGCACCTCTGTCTGTGCCCGTTCAGGCCCCATGGCAAGCACTCGTTCCAGGTGGGCGGCAAAGGCGGCAACGGGCGGCGAGGAGGGGTTGAAAAGCAGCACCTGTTGCGCTGACACGATGGCCTTCACATGCTCCAGGTTCACCATCATGCACCCCTCCCTGCCTGTAACCGGGTAACCAGACGGGGCGAGAGAGAGAGAGAGAAATAAAGACTTCGGGTTTCGGGTTTAGGGGAACTAAGTCAACTCAACAGTCGGACCGTGCTAGCGCAAATGGCGCAGACGTTCGGAACCGGCGCGCGGCTTCGACCTCAGCTGCAGCTGGCCGCGCACGTGCAGATCGCGCGTGGGGAGCGACAGCTGACGTACGTACGTACGCTATAGAGTCAGGCTTAACACAACTCACCGAGAATCGCGGCGGCGGAGGACAGCAACGGGCCGTTTAAGCGGAGATCGCGCGCGGGGACCGACACGCGGCGCATGATGGCCTGCTTCGTGCACTGTAGCAGCTCCGCCTCCCCCCGCATCCCGACAAGCAACACCGCCCATTTCCGCCCCGCCAGGCGCTTCTTCTTCCGCTTCTTTCCCCCTGCCGCCTTCCGCTTCTCGTCGCCTACTACCCCCCCTGCTTTATCGTCGACGATCTTAATCTCCACTAAGTCTCTTGCGTCTTTAGTCTCTCTAGACTCCTCTGCGTCATTCGGCTCCTTTCCGTCATCCCCGATACTAATCGCATTACCCTCCGCTCCAGTTTCAGCCATCCCCACTTTCTCCGCGAAAAGTCTCGTTTGGGCTCAAACGAAACCGTCAACTGAAAATATACTATAAATGTCTATCTTGGCCTGTCATTACTTGCACACCCCTAGGGAGCGAAACTGCTTGTATGGATCATGTGCGGCTCGGCAGGTGGTGCGGTTGGGATAGTCCCCAAAGTAAGTTGAATTCGGCTCAGCAGACGTCTTTTTACATTTAAAATGGTCGGGTATGGTGTTGCTTTGGACTGGACTCATCTGATCAGTTACTCTAGTTTTCGCCACTTTCGTCAGCAAGGTTGCGATAAGCGAACGCCCCTATCGAAGTTCGGTCAACTCTAGGTTTGGGATCAAGGCGGATTCGAACTTGTTCGGAAGCGTACAGCTTGGTTCATACATTGGAAAAAACACAAATACGAATATTTGTCAGACGCTTTCAGCACATAATACGACAGGCTGAAACGCGGATGCATTCAGATTCAGCTTGGCAAGCGTGAAGCACCAGCATTCAAGCAGAACGCGTTCGGGGCAATCGAGAACTCTCGCTCTCTAGTCCGCTTGAGAGACGAAGGACGGAGTCTACTGTTAGCATCATAGAGACAACGGATTAGAAGTCGGCAGTGTGTAGTTCTTTGTACCGCCGGTAGGAGGCAGAGTTCCGTAAGGAGCGGAAGAGTGTGTGTGAGAGAGAGCGAGAGTGAGGTGCATTTCAGTGAGTGTTTGTGACATCGAGGTGAGAAAACGAGAGATTGCGAGTGAGTGAGTGAGTAAGCGAGAGAGTGAGTGAGAGAGTGAGGGTGCGGGCAACATGTCGATGACGGTACAGGAGTATCTCGATCGCCACAAGCTGTCGCTGCGGATAGAGGAGGCCGTCAATGCGGCCGTGCGGGCGAAAACCGACGAACCAATCGCATTCATAGTAAGTTTACCTGGTAGGCTCCGTTATAAGCTGCCTCGTCCGTGTTGCGGTTACAAAGCGGCTGTCGCTGCGGATAGAGGAGGGTCAATGCGGCCGTGCGGGCGAAAACGGACGAACCAATCGCATTCATCGTAAGTCTACCAGGTATTTCTCATTATAAACTGACTCATTAATGCTCACAGGCTGTCGCTGCGCATAGAAGAGGCGGTCAATGCGGCCGTACGAGCTACAACGGACGAAACGCATTCATTGTAGGCTCGCTCGTTAACACTCGTTGTAAGCTCAACCGTTACCACTCGTTACAAGCTGACGAGTTTGTGTCAGATTCTATACTACGCACGGTGGAGGCGGAGGTGGGCTCTCACAGGGGCAAGTTCCGCGGCGTGTGAGAGTCACATTTGGCACACCTACCCCCTTCCCTTCCCTTGCCGTCTTTCATCCCCTCCCAGGCTCGTCATCTACAGCGCGCAGCCCCATCAGTCATTCTAACTGTCAAGGGGCGCATGGTGCTGGACGCACGGGGGGAGCCGACAGTGGAGGAGGAGATTGGCTCTCACAGGAACCACACACCCCCATCCATGTCCCCCACTATGTTCCTTTATCTTCCCCAGGCGCGGCACTTGCAGTGCGCAGCCCCGTCAGTGATTCTGACTGTGAAGGGGCGCATGGTGCTGGATGCGCGGGGGGAGCCCACGGTGGAGGCGGAGGTGGGCGGATCAGGATCCAAACACAAGCCGCTTCGCCTTCACTTATGATTCCCCTATCCCATCGTTCTTCCCCAGGCGCGCCATCTGCAGCGCGCAGCCCCGTCGGTGATTCTGAGCGTCAAGGGGCGCATGGTGCTGGATGCGAGAGGGGAGCCCACAGTGGAGGCGGAGGTGGGCTCACACAGGGGCAAGTTCCGCGCCTCTGTTCCCACCGGCGTTACATCTGGCATGTGAGCGTTGCATCTGGAAGTGCGAGTTACAATTGGCATGTGAGGGCGTTACATCTGGATGTGAGGGTTACATACATGTGGTGGCACAAGTGGCATGGGAGAGTTACAAGTGGCATGGTTTTGAGATTCTCTCAGAAACCAACAAGGAACCAACTGGTCTGGTCCAAGATGGAACACACACACAGATCCCTACTGCAATTGAGCCGCCCTCAGAGAAGTTAGCCACAACCCACACCCGATCCAATCCGACCCGACCCGATCCGATCCAACCCGACCCGAACCGACCCGACCCGACCTGACTTGAACCAACTTGACCCGACCCAACCCGACTCGACTTGAACCGACCTGAGTTGACCCGGCCCGACCCGACCCGACTTGACCCAACCCGTCCGATCCAACCCGACCCGATCCGACCCGACTTACCCGACCCTCCCTGACCCGGCTTGACCCGACCCGACCCGATCCAACCTGACCCGGCCCAAACCAACCCTACTATCCCAACCGAGCCGGCCGACCCGACCAGACCTGTGCCTACTCGACCCGACCAGACTTTACCCAACCTCACCCAACAACCCTTTCCGACCCAACCCGGCCGACCCAGCTTGACCCGACCAAACCCGACCCGACCCGATTTGAACCGAACCGAATTGACCCAACCCGACCCGACCCTACTTGACCCGACCCGATCCGACCCGACCTGACCCGACCCGACTTTACCCGACCCGATCCGACCCGACCTGACCCGACCCGACTTTACCCGACCTGACCCAACCCGACCGACCCAACTTGACCCGACCCCACCCGACCCGACCCAGCGTGACCCCGATCCAACTCGACCCGACCCGACTCGATTGGACCCAACCCTACCAGACTTGACCCGACCCTACCTGACCCGAGTCGACTCGATCCGACCAGACCCGACCTGAGCGGGTTTGGGAATGTGAGCGAGGGGATTGCAGCATGTCACGCCCTTACCACCCTTCTCCCTTTATTACCACCCCATCCTCTCCCATGTCTCCTTCTCTGCCCAGTCGCAGATTCGAAGCGGTTAAGATGTGGGATGGAGAGGACGGAGGATTCTTTCGAAAGGGGCGTGCAGAGGGCGCTTGGATTGTGAAGAATACGATTGCAGCACCACCTCCCACTCCCCCCAATCCGTTGTTCTCTTTCCACCTCTCTCCCTTGCCCCATTCCCATTCAGCTATGAAGCAGTCGAGGTGCGGAATGGGAACGGGAAGGAGTGCTTTGGAAGGGGCTTGCAGAGGGCGGTGGGGAATGTGAGCGACGCGTTTGCAGCATGTCACTCCCTTAGCTACCACCCTTTTCTCTCCTCCGCACCCTCTCTCCCACCCCTCTCCCATTCCCGTTCAGCTATGAAGCAGTGGAAGTGAGGGATGGGGACGAGGGGGAATTCTTCGGGAGGGGCGTGCAGCGGGCGGTGGGGAATGTGAGTGAGGTGATTGCAGCAGCGGTGGTGGGGAGGGACCCGCGCGAGCAGGGCGAGATTGACCGGCTTATGGCGGCCGAGCTTGATCAGACAGACAACAAGGTGGGTGGGGGGACGCGGTGACAAGGGTTTGGACTCATGGGCAATATTGGTGGGCAGCAGCGGTGGTGGGGAGGGACCCTCGCGAGCAAGGGGAGATTGACCGGCTTATGGCGGCTGAACTGGACCAGACTGACAACAAGGTGTGTGGGGGATTGGGGAGTGGGGGGAGGAAGAGGGGGAGTGGAGGGGGCAGGGGGGACGAGGAACGACCCTCTTGAGCAGGGCGAGATTGACTGGCTGATGGCGGCTGAGATTGATCAGACAGATAACAAGGTGGGCGAGAGGGGCAGAGAGGGCCATGGGTGGGAATGGGGCTGAAAAGGGGAGATCGATAGGCTCATGGCAGCAAGGGCAGTGACGGCAGGCAGGCAGCGGTGGTGGGGAGGAACCCTCGCGAGCAGGGGGGATTGACCGGCTGATAGCGGCTGGGCTTGATCAGACCGACAACAAGGTGGGTGGTGGAAAGGATGGGGGGGTTGGGGGGGGGAAGGGATGGGGGAATGGGGCTGAAAAGGGATACTCATGAGTCAAGTGCAGTAACGGCGTGCAGCAGCGGTGGTGGGGAGTTAGGCTGATGGCGGCTGAATTGGACCAGACTGACAAGAAGGTGGGTGGGAGTTAAGGGGAAAAGAAGGGGGGAAAGGGGGGAAAGGGGGGAAAGGGGGGAAAGGGGGGAAAGGGGGGAAAGGGGGGAAAGGGGGGAAAACAGGGGGGAAAGGGGGGAAAGGGGGGAAAGGGGGGAAAGGGGGGAAAGGGGGGAAAGGGGGGAAAACAGGGAAAACAGGGGGGAAAGGGGGGAAAGGGGGGAAAGGGGGGAAAGGGGGGAAAGGGGGGAAAACAGGGAAAACAGGGGGGAACGGGGGGAAAACAGGGGGGAAAGGGGGGAAAGGGGGGAAAACAGGGGGGAAAACAGGGAAAACAGGGGGGAAAGGGGGGAAAACAGGGGGGAAAACAGGGAAAACAGGGGGGAAAGGGGGGAAAACAGGGGGGAAAGGGGGGAAAGGGGGGAAAACAGGGGGGAAAGGGGGGAAAGGGGGGAAAACAGGGGGGAAAGGGGGGAAAGGGGGGAAAACAGGGGGGAAAGGGGGGAAAGGGGGGAAAAGGGGGAAAACAGGGGGGAGAGAAAGGACCCTCACGAGAAGGGCGAGATTGACCGGCTAATGGCGGCCGAGCTTGATCAGACTGACAACAAGGCGGATGGTGGGTTGTGATGTATTAGTGCGCTGTGAGAGAGGGAGGCTTGCAATGCAAGCAGGGCGAGATCGACAGGTTGATGCCGGCTGAACAATACCAGCTAGACAGACAACAAGGTGGGTGGGTGGGGATGAGCTAGGCGCCAATGCCTTTGGTCCCATCGTCCCATCCCCTCCTCACGCCACTGCCTTTGGTCCCATCGTTCCATCCCCTCCTCACGCCACTGCCTTTGGTCCCATCGTCCCATCCCCTCCTCACGCCACTGCCTTTGGTCCCATCGTTCCATCCCCTCCTCACGCCACTGCCTTTGGTCCCATCGTCCCATCCCCTCCTCACGCCACTGCCTTTGGTCCCATCGTCCCATCCCCTCCTCACGCCACTGCCTTTGGTCCCATCGTCCCATCCCCTCCTCACGCCACTGCCTTTGGTCCCATCGTCCCATCCCCTCCTCACGCCACTGCCTTTGGTCCCATCGTCCCATCCCCTCCTCACGCCACTGCCTTTGGTCCCATCGTCCCATCCCCTCCTCACGCCACTGCCTTTGGTCCCATCGTCCCATCCCCTCCTCACGCCACTGCCTTTGGTCCCATCGTCCCATCCCCTCCTCACGCCACTGCCTTTGGTCCCATCGTCCCATCCCCTCCTCACGCCACTGCCTTTGGTCCCATCGTCCCATCCCCTCCTCACGCCACTGCCTTTGGTCCCATCGTCCCATCCCCTCCTCACGCCACTGCCTTTGGTCCCATCGTCCCATCCCCTCCTCACGCCACTGCCTTTGGTCCCATCGTCCCATCCCCTCCTCACGCCACTGCCTTTGGTCCCATCGTCCCATCCCCTCCTCACGCCCTTGCCTTTCCCCACTCCTTCACGTCTCCTCCTGCAGGCAGGGCATAGTTTGCCGCACTTGCCACAGGGGAGAAGGGGCCCAATGCTCTTCTCTCGCTGCCTCCTTCTCTCACTCGCTCCTTGCAACCCCTTCATCCCCTCATCCCCCTCCCACGCCCCTTTTGTCCCCTCGTCTGTCTCCCCACCATACCTCTTCGTTTCCCCATTCCCTCTGGGCGAGCTAGGCGCTATCGCCATTCTCGCCGTGTCTCCTTCACTCACACGCCCCCCTCTTCTCTCCTTTCTCTCATTCGCCTCCCTGTCTCCCCCTTGCTTTCAGGGCGAGCTTGGTGCCAATGCTATTCTCGCCGTGTCTCTGGCGGTGTGCCGGGCAGGCGCGGCAGAGAGAGAGGTGAGGGTGTGTGTGAGTGGGTGTGAGTGGGTGTGAGTGGGTGGCGGCATGGGGCTGCTTAGGAAGAGTTGGAGCGTCAGAGGGAAACAAGGGTGCGTCTCCACAGTGTGCCAGGCAGGCGTGGCTGAGCGAGAGGTGCGAGTGGGTGTGCGTGAGAGAGGGGGTAAGGGGGGGTTTGGTGGAAATTTGAAGCAACAGGAAGACTCAGGGTGTGTCTTTGACAGTGTGCTGAGCAGGCGCAGCAGAGAGAGAGGTGAGTGTGGCTGAGTGGGTGTTGCAGAGACGGCAGATGGAGTGATGAGAGTGCACATGTGATTAATTATGTGCGCCTGTGTGTGAGTGCGTGCGTGCGTGCGTGCGTGCGTCTCACAGGGATGCATAGTATTCCCCCTGTGTCATACCACCAAGTTTGGCACCATTTTCCTCCCCCAACCCCTCAACTGCAGCTGCCACTGCACGAGTACATCGCCTCGCTTGCAGGAGTTTGACCTCTCACGCCCGCCCTCCCTCCCGCTCCTCCTTCACTCCTCCCAACCACCTTCCCTGGTCATCTCGCAGCGCCCACTGCACAAGTACATCGCCTCGCTTCGCTGGCAGGAGTTTGACCTCTCATGCCCGCCCTCCCCTATTCCCTCCCGCTCCTCCTGCGTTCCTCCCCCCCACCTTCCCTGTTCATCTCGCAGATGCCACTGCACGAGTACATCGCCTCGCTTGCAGCGGTCCTTCTCCCCTCTCTTCCCGTGCCTGAGTTCGCCTCTCATTCACTTGCTGCCAACCCCCACCCATCTCTCCCACTCCATGCCCCTCTCATGCCTCTCACCACAATCGCAGCGCCCACTGCATGCATGAGTACATCGCCTTGCTGGCAGCGGTCCCCACCCCTCTCTCCCCGTACCCGATTCGCCCTCCTCTCTTCTCATTCACTTGCTGCCATCCCCCATCCTCCCTCCCTCCTCTGCTGCCCCTTCTCTTGCCTCCAACCACACCACAACCGCAGCTTCCACTGCACGAGTACATCGCCTCTCTTGCTGAAGTTTTAAACTCTCACGCCTTCCTCTTTCCCCTCCCCCTCCCCTCTTCACTAATCCTCCCCACCCTCCCCTGTTCGTATCGCAGCTTCCATTCCACGAGTACATCGCATCGCTCGCAGCGGTGCCCCACCCATCTCTCCCCGTGCCTGAGTTCGCCCTTCTCTCCTCTCCGTCACGTGCTGCCCCTCTGTCGTCTCTGACCTCTGTTCTCTTTTTCCCCGCACATGATCGCAGCTTCCACTGCACGAGTACATTGCCTCGCTGGGAGAATCTCGACCTCTCGCGCCCTCCTCTTTTCCCTCTCCCTCCCTCCTTCACTCTTACATTCCATCCACCTGCCCTGTTCGTATCGCAGCTTCCACTGCACGAGTACATCTCATTGCTCGCAGCGGTGCCCCACCCTTCTCTCCCCGTGCCCAAATTCGCCCTCCTCTCATTCACTTGCTGCCATGCCCCACCCATCTCTCCCACCTCTCCTGCTCTTCTGTTGTCTCTGACCTCTGGTCACTTACCCCCCTGTTCGCAGCTGTCACTCCACAAGTACATCGCCTCCCTGGCAGCGCTGCCCCACCCTTCTCTCCCCGTGCCTGAGTTCGCCCTCCTCTCGGGCGCCCTCACGCCCTCCTCTGCCGCCTCGCCCCCGTTCCATGTGAGTCTGAGTGCTTGCGAGTGAATGGGTGTGTGAAATGGTGACATCTGCACCAGTGCCAGCGAGTGAATGAGTGTGTGAAATGATATGGTCTGGTAGAAGAGTACAGAAACCATCAAGGCTTTAAGGCTTTCAGTGAGAGCCGAATTGGTGCCAGCAAGTGGGTGAGTGAGTGGATTATATCAATGTGAGCGCTGTCATGTGAGCGCTGTCATGTGAGCGCTGTCATGTGAGCGCTGTCATGTGAGCGCTGTCATGTGAGCGCTGTCATGTGAGCGCTGTCATGTGAGCGCTGTCATGTGAGCGCTGTCATGTGAGCGCTGTCATGTGAGCCCTGTCATGTGAGCGCTGTCATGTGAGCGCTGTCATGTGAGCGCTGTCATGTGAGCGCTGTCATGTGAGCGCTGTCATGTGAGCGCTGTCATGTGAGCGCTGTCATGTGAGCGCTGTCATGTGAGCGCTGTCATGTGAGCCCTGTCATGTGAGCGCTGTCATGTGAGCGCTGTCATGTGAGCGCTGTCATGTGAGCGCTGTCATGTGAGCGCTGTCATGTGAGCGCTGTCATGTGAGCGCTGTCATGTGAGCGCTGTCATGTGAGCGCTGTCATGTGAGCGCTGTCATGTGAGCGCTGTCATGTGAGCGCTGTCATGTGAGCGCTGTCATGTGAGCGCTGTCATGTGAGCGCTGTCATGTGAGCGCTGTCATGTGAGCGCTGTCATGTGATTTTTAACCCCCACAGTCCCTCTCCTCCCTTTTCTGTCCTTCAAGACCATATCTCCCCTCCCTTCCCTTCTCTCAGCAGTCCCTCTCCTCCCTTTTCTTTCCTTCAAGCCCCTATCTCCCCTTCCCTTCTCTCAGCAGTCCCTCTCCCTCCCTCCTGCTAGTCGCATCCACATTTTCTGAGGCTGTCTTGTCCACTCCACAACAGGCATCCAGTGCAGCATTATCACCCACTGCAGGTGTTCAGTGCATTGGGGGTGTCATGATATCATCTTTATCACTCCTTCCCAGCATCCCCGATTCATTCCCTCCATGCCCAACCCCATCCGCACCCCCCCCTCAGTCACTCTCCATTCTGCCAGTGGGAGCATCCACATTTGCAGAGGCTGTGCGGATTGGAGCAGAGGTGCAGCACTGCTTGCAGGTGCATTGGAGGGGAGAGGAGGGGGGTGTGGGGGCTGGGGGGGTGAATGGGGAAGGGAAGAATGCGGAGTATGTTGAGCTGTTGATGGGAGAAAGGGGTCATTGGGGACTGAAAGGGGTCATTGGGGACTGAAAGGGGTCATTGGGGACTGAAAGGGGTCATTGGGGACTGAAAGGGGTCATTGGGGACTGAAAGGGGTCATTGGGGACTGAAAGGGGTCATTGGGGACTGAAAGGGGTCATTGGGGACTGAAAGGGGTCATTGGGGACTGAAAGGGGTCATTGGGGACTGAAAGGGGTCATTGGGGACTGAAAGGGGTCATTGGGGACTGAAAGGGGTCATTGGGGACTGAAAGGGGTCATTGGGGACTGAAAGGGGTCGTTGGGGACTGAAAGGGGTCATTGGGGACTGAAAGGGGTCATTGGGGACTGAAAGGGGTCATTGGGGACTGAAAGGGGTCATTGGGGACTGAAAGGGGTCATTGGGGACTGAAAGGGGTCATTGGGGACTGAAAGGGGTCATTGGGGACTGAAAGGGGTCATTGGGGACTGAAAGGGGTCATTGGGGACTGAAAGGGGTCATTGGGGACTGAAAGGGGTCATTGGGGACTGAAAGGGGTCATTGGGGACTGAAAGGGGTCATTGGGGACTGAAAGGGGTCATTGGGGACTGAAAGGGGTCATTGGGGACTGAAAGGGGTCATTGGGGACTGAAAGGGGTCATTGGGGACTGAAAGGGGTCATTGGGGACTGAAAGGGGTCATTGGGGACTGAAAGGGGTCATTGGGGACTGAAAGGGGTCATTGGGGACTGAAAGGGGTCATTGGGGACTGAAAGGGGTCATTGGGGACTGAAAGGGGTCATTGGGGACTGAAAGGGGTCGTTGGGGACTGAAAGGGGTCATTGGGGACTGAAAGGGGTCATTGGGGACTGAAAGGGGTCGTTGGGGACTGAAAGGGGTCATTGGGGACTGAAAGGGGTCATTGGGGACTGAAAGGGGTCATTGGGGACTGAAAGGGGTCATTGGGGACTGAAAGGGGTCATTGGGGACTGAAAGGGGTCATTGGGGACTGAAAGGGGTCATTGGGGACTGAAAGGGGTCATTGGGGACTGAAAGGGGTCATTGGGGACTGAAAGGGGTCATTGGGGACTGAAAGGGGTCATTGGGGACTGAAAGGGGTCATTGGGGACTGAAAGGGGTCATTGGGGACTGAAAGGGGTCATTGGGGACTGAAAGGGGTCATTGGGGACTGAAAGGGGTCATTGGGGACTGAAAGGGGTCATTGGGGACTGAAAGGGGTCATTGGGGACTGAAAGGGGTCATTGGGGACTGAAAGGGGTCATTGGGGACTGAAAGGGGTCATTGGGGACTGAAAGGGGTCATTGGGGACTGAAAGGGGTCATTGGGGACTGAAAGGGGTCATTGGGGACTGAAAGGGGTCATTGGGGACTGAAAGGGGTCATTGGGGACTGAAAGGGGTCATTGGGGACTGAAAGGGGTCATTGGGGACTGAAAGGGGTCATTGGGGACTGAAAGGGGTCATTGGGGACTGAAAGGGGTCATTGGGGACTGAAAGGGGTCATTGGGGACTGAAAGGGGTCATTGGGGACTGAAAGGGGTCATTGGGGACTGAAAGGGGTCATTGGGGACTGAAAGGGGTCATTGGGGACTGAAAGGGGTCATTGGGGACTGAAAGGAACCAAGAGTCAGTAGCAGCACTGTAGGCTTCCCGTCACCGTCAGACCTATAGCTGGGTGTTTACATTAACTCTCACATCACATACAGTACAACCATATAAATATATAACACAAAGGTCCATCACATCACATCACATCACATCGCTCCATCAAATTCCATCCCAATGCACCCCTTTCTACCCCTCTCCACCGCATTCAACCGCATTCCCCGCCAGGCACTTGCAGCAGAACGGTTTGGAGCAGCAGCAGCAGCGCTGGTGACTGACGATGGCAGCTTGGGTCTGCCGCTCACAAGGTGGGCCTCTCTGACTGGTTACATACACAACACAACATAGGTACGTTATAGAAGAAGTAATTTGAGACGTCTCAAAATACAACTTCTATCGCTTGGGTCTGCCGCTCACAAGGTGGGCCTCTCTGACTGGTTACATACACAACACAACATAGGTACGTTATAGAAGAAGTATTTTGAGACGTCTCAAAATACAACTTCTATCGCTTGGGTCTGCCGCTCACAAGGTGGGCCTCTCTGACTGGTTACATGCACAACACAACATAGGTACGTTATAGAAGAAGTATTTTGAGACGTCTCAAAATACAACTTCTATCGCTTGGGTCTGCCGCTCACAAGGTGGGCCTCTCTGACTGGTTACATACACAACACAACATAGGTACGTTATAGAAGAAGTATTTTGAGACGTCTCAAAATACAACTTCTATCGCTTGGGTCTGCCGCTCACAAGGTGGGCCTCTCTGACTGGTTACATACACAACACAACATAGGTACGTTATAGAAGAAGTATTTTGAGACGTCTCAAAATACAACTTCTATCGCTTGGGTCTGCCGCTCACAAGGTGGGCCTCTCTGACTGGTTACATACACAACACAACATAGGTGGGTGGGTGGGGCGTCCACTCTGGTGGTGATTGTTAGAAACTCAAGTGCTGATCTCATCAAGGAAAACGACTATACATAAGAGATGAACTTGAGGGGAACTTGGTGAAGTAACCTAGGCATTATTGTTGGACCAATGTGAATGGTCACCGAGTAATGCTTTGGGCTGAGCGTAAATTTTTGGAGGGGGACGAATAATGGTTGGGATGAGCCAAGCAAGTTGGTTCCCGCCCCTGTCAATTGCACCCAACCCAAATTGGTTAGGGCGACTTTGCCCGACCAAATTGTACACCCAGATTTGGGTGTTACACTTGCACGATCATAACAAAGTTATGCTATTTGCACGATCATAACACAGTGATACCACAGGTTGAGAAATGAGTTGTGCTGCCTTGCCTTCCTTCCTCCTCCCATGCCCGTTCCCTTCACCCCCTGGTATTCTGCCCATCCAGCATCCTAAGTTCTTTTCCCCTCCCATCATCCTACCCCTCTGCCAGCATATGCCAAGCAGCTTCTCCAGCAACTGACGTTTCCCCATCACACCCCATCACACCCCATCACACCCCATCACACCCCATCCGATATCCTTTAACCCCTATGTTTTCCCTCTCCCCCGCCTCCCCCCTCCACCGTTTCTCCACCTCCCCTCCTTTCCGACCCCTTCCTCCTTCCCCATCCACAACCCCAATCTTCACCCTTTTTCATTCGTCCTTACCTCCCCTTTTTTCCCTCCACCTCCCCTTCCCCTCTCTCCTCCTCCCCTTCCCATCTCTCCTCCTCCCATTCCACTCTCTTTTCACACTCACCCCACTCCTCCCCCATCTTAAACGCATACGGGACTTTTTTTTTTTTGGCGTTTCCCCATCCCAATCCCCTATGTCTCATGCGAGTTTTGAGGCGCCTTAAAACTCGCCTCAATACAATGTGAAACTTATGCGCCTCCCCATCTGATCCCCTGTGTTTCACCTTTCTTCCCACGTCCTTACCATCCCAACCTTCCCCACCACCTTCTCTTTCTCCCTTCCTACCGCTCCCCCCCCCCCCCCCTCCTCCCCCAAACGCCAGCATAAGAGACGGTTTGCAGCTGCTGACGTCAGCAGTGGCAAATGCAGGGCATGCAGAGAAAGTGAAGATCAGCATTCACGCAGCGTTGGGTGGGCGTGTGACAGGTTAGTTGGTGTAAGGGGGAGGAGAGGTGGGTACACAGCAAATGTGGGACTCAAAAGTCAACTCGCTACTGTTGGAAGCCTGGGAGGATGTGCACAATGAGAAAGTGAAGATCAGCATTCATGCAGCATTGGGGGGCCGTGTGACAGGTGATTGTAAAGGGGGGTTGAGTGGGCACACAGAGATATCGATACGTGATTGTAAGGGGTGGCTGAGTGGGCACACAGAGAAATTGGCACGTGATTGTAACAGGGGGTTGAGTCGGCACGCAGAGAAAGTGAACATTGCTTATGTGCTGTGTTGTGACGGTGTTTGTCGGGTGCTTGTAACTCGGTTTCGGGTGGGACGGGAGGAGAAGAGGGGGGGAGATGAGTGTGATTGATAGGGGAGCGTGTGACCTACGGTGGTTGGGGGAGTGTATGTGATTTAAGATGGGGTGAAATGGTACAGGTGATTATTGTGGAAAAGTCTCTTATCCCTCTACAAGTCTACCAACCATCCATCGGCCTCAGCGTGTGCGCATCTGCAGCCTTCATATATATATATATATATATATGTATGTATATATATAAACATACATATATACATACATATGAAAACCAAAATTTATTTATTATATCCTCCACATCCCACCACACATACAGACGAAGGTCACTATGACCTGGGAATCCAGCAGCAGCAGCAGCAGCAGCAGCATCATCATCCCCCCATGCACGTTCCCCCCATCCTCCCCCAACCACAGACGAAGGTCACTATGACCTGGGCATCCAGCAGCAGCAGCAGCAGCAGCTGGATGGCAGCGGTGACATCAGCATGACATCAGCCAACAACAGCAGCAGCAGTTTGGAGCAAGTGACCGTCCAGCAGCTCATAGACGTGTACCAGCAGCTGTGCTCAGGTGAATTTCCAACTGTTCTCAGGTGTACCAGCAGCTGTGCTCAGGTGAATTTCCAACTGTTCTCAGGTGTATCAGCAGCTGTGCTCAGGTGTGGTGAACCATCCTGCTGAGCGAGTTCCTTATAGCGAGTGAGCGAGCATAGCAGCACTTCTATGTTCAGATTGACATCCCCAGTATTCCCAAGCCATAAGTTCACATACGCGTCTAGTTTATACTGTAATGACTCAGTGCAGTCCCTGTGTTCAGTTCAGGCTGACAGCTCCGCTTCTTCTTTCGGACCTCACCTCATTCCCGCTCTGTTCCTTTCCACCCGATTGCCCATCCTCGTTACAGAGTTCCCCATTGTGAGCATAGAGGACCCGTTTGACCAGGAAGACTTTGACGCCACTCAAGCCCTCTCAGAGGCTGGGTTCACCCAGGCAAGTCCCTGTGCTCCTGCTCTCGCTTGAGGTGACTTCAAGTCGACTCAAAAGTCACCTCCACTTCCTTTGGAAGTAGCTGACTTCACCCAGGCAAGTTCCTCATGACACTCACTCAAGCTCTCTCAAGGGTTGGCTTCACCCCAGTGCGTACCTGTGCTCTTGCTTTCGCACATGCCTTCATACATACACTCACTCATGCCCCCACACATGCCCGCACACATGCCCTCACTCATGCCCTCACACGTGCCCTCACTCATGTCCTCACTCATGCTCTCACTCATGCTCTCACTCATGCTCTTTCGCATGCTCACTCCGTCACTCATGCCCTAATATTGTGCTTCCCCTCATCCTCTTGCCACTAACTTTTCCCTTTATCTCGCAATATCTTCTCCTGTTCGCCACCGATCTTCTTGCTAATGTTTTCCTCCGCACTCCACCGCATGTCACCACATTGCGCCGCCTCCCGCCACATTGCACCACAACACACTGCATGACTTGCAGGTGGTGGGCAACGACCTGTTGGTCTCAAATGCCAAGCGACTGGAGCAAGCCATTGAGAGACGCACATGCAGTGGCATCGCCATCAAGGTGAGTGAGTGGTACCGCATTGCACCACATTGCACCGTATTACACCATATCACATATTGGGCAACGACCTGCTGGTCTCGAATGCCAAGTGACTGGTTCAAGCCATTGAGAGGCGCACGTGCAGTGGCATTGCAATTAAGGTGAGTGGTACCGCATTGCACCGCTCTGCATCATGTGCAGTGGCATCACCATCAATGTGAGTGATACCTAATTGCTCCGCACTCCGATACATGCGGTAGCATTGCAGTCAAGGTGGGTGGGAGATCCCTCATTGTACCGCATTGCATCCTTGAAACCAACGTTACAGTTTCTACTTCTCTCTGCACCACTCTTCTCCCCCATTCCCACAAGCCCCCCCTGATCGGCACTCTCTCAGAAGCCCTAGAGGTGGCCAAGGCAGCGAGAGCAGGTGAAACCAATATCGCTGCTCTCTCTTCTCTCTTCCCGCTCTTCTCCTCTCCTCTTCTCACCCCCACTTCTCCCTGCCAGCTCCCCTTGATCGGCACCCTTTCAGAGGCTCTAGAGGTGGCCAAGGCAGCGAGGGCAGCGGGGTGGGCAGTGGTGGTGGCAGGTGGGGTGGGACGGCAGGGGGACACGGAGGACTGCATGCTTGCTGACGTGGCAGTGGGCATGGGGGCCCAGCGAATCAAGGATGGGGGTGTGTGTCGGGGCGAGCAATGCTCCAAGTATAATCAGGTGATTCCTGACACGGGCTGGTTCATAAAGGCTGCTTTATTAGGTTGCCTGGTTGTAAGCTCTTCACGTTTTCGTGCGTCATGGTTCTTACCGTATATGCTATCTGATGGTTCTCTGGCCGATGTCTGTTGTGTTTGATGGCTGCAGCTTTTACGGATTGAGGAAGAGCTTGGAAGCAAGGCGACTTATGGAGCAGGAACAGCAAATGTGATTCCACCAAGCAAATGAGCACTAGCAAAAGTAGGTATTGTTTCTTTGGAGAAGTTGTTATTAGGAACAGGGCCTGTGCTAGGATTTTGGGCACCCTGAGCCATCAGGGTAACTTTTGAAAAATCTCTGAAATGCCCTGATTCTTCAGGGCAAATTTTTCTGGCCATCCTGAAATTTCAGGGCACCAGCAGAAATTCATCTGGATGATTCAGGGCAAAAAATATGAAAGGAGGGGAAGGCACGAAAGGAACAGGTTGTTCACTGGTTTCACTTCTACTGGCGGAGCAAAAACATTGGTGGGGGAGGGGTGAGGACAAAACTAGCACACACACCCTCCAGCCTCCTTCCTCCCCTCTCTCCCTCTCCCTCTCTCCCCCCTCCACCCTTTCTCCCCTTCCAACGAGTCAGGGAATCCCTCTACATTCACCCTAACGCTTCAGGGCAAAAATTCACTGCCATTCTGAAATTTCAGGGAAAAACACAAGGATCATCTTGACGTCACAGGGTAAATTTCAGCATCATTCTGAAATTCCAGGGCAAACTTAAGACACCATCCTGAAATCAGGGTAATCAGGATGTTTTGCCCTGATATCGTGGGCCCTGATTAGGAAGTTTAAAGGCTAACTGAACGGACAAACTTTCGGGTGTACCAAGTACGGACAAACTTGTTCGCCCGTTACTGCTAACGGGACTTCGCCGACTTCGCGCGCACTGTTTCACCAAACCTCGCACTGCTGGCCAGGCTGTGTCGGCCTACGCTTCGGGACTAGCCCGAGCCTCGCTTCCAGCATAGCACTAGCTGTGGAAGTAAGGAACAGGAATGACGCAGGGGCAGGGACCAAGCGCACCACCGCGCTGACGCTGCAAGTACCACTCACGGAGCTGCTGAGGGCCGGGGACGGTGCGAGAGCGCTGCTGCTGCTGCGGCTGCTGCTGCGGCTGCTGCTGCTGCTGCTGCGGCTGCTGCTGCTGCTGCTGCTGGCGCTGACCACCCCCAGAGCTGCTCCGCTGGGACGAGCCACTCCGACCCCCGCCTCCACCGCCACCCCCGCCTCCACCGCCACCCCCGTCTCCACCGCCACCTCCCCCACCAGGACCGTCGCCCCCACCGCTCCCACCGCCTCCTCCGCTACCACCTCCGCCGCCACCTCCGCCTCCACCGCCGCCACCAGTACCTCCACTCCCGCCACCACCCCCACCGCCACCCCCACTCCCCCCTCCACCCCCACCGCCTCCTCCACCGCCCCCTCTAGCTCCACCCGCTCCCTTGCCCCCCTTGCCCTTGCCAGAGCGGCGTCTGCCGCTGGGGGCAGACGCCGCGCCGACCGACTCAAAACCAGCGAGGTCGGCCGCAGCGGCAGAGGCGACAGAGGGCAGCAGGGGGGAAGGACCACACCCCTCAAAGATGGGGGTGCGAGGGTCACCCCGAGAGGCCCCTACAGCGACTATACTCTTCTCAGCCGCTAGCAGGGACTCCTCAAGGAGGTCGACAGTGAGAGTGGTGGGACAGACAGAGAGAAACTGGTCCCTAACGACACGAAGGGACTCAGGGAGACGGGTGACGAGAAAGTAGAGAGTGATGTACATGGGAGGAGGGTTCGCAGCGCGGAACTCAGCAGGAAGGGCAGCGCGGTAGCGGGTGTCACTAGCGCGGAGGTGGGTAACGAGGTCAGCAACAGTGGGAAAGGAAGCGAGGTCAGGGAAGAGAAACGGTAGCATGAGGCGGCTAAGGGTAGCGGAGGAAGGGGAGGAGTAGCGTGCAACTACAGCGTCGTACAAGGCCTGAGCGGTCTTGCACTGACTAAAGTGGGCACGCTCAAAGGAAGGGAGGTGGCGACGCACAGCAAGACGTGCAGCAGCATCGCGGGTCGCCCACTTGGAGCGAACGGCAGAGTCAGCATCAGCAGGCGGGGCAGGGACAGCGCCAGAGACAAAGTCAAAGAGAGAGACCTCATCTATCGCATCACACAGTAAGTACAGCTGCAGGTCTTCGATCCAGACGGCAAAGTCAATGGCCCTCCCCTCAGCGTCAAAAGTAAGAACATTGGGGGTGGCCATGGCAGCAGCTGAAAGTCTCACGGGGCTAGGAGAGTCGGGTAGGTCAGCAGCAGGCGGCTCGGGCTGGTGGGGCGGCTCGGGCGGCTTGGGCGGCTCGGGCGGATCGGGCGGCTCGGGCGGCTCGGGTACCGGGCGGCTCGGCTGCTGCTGGGCGGCTCGGCTGCTGCTGGGCGGCTCGGCTGCTGCTGGGCGGCTCGGCTGCTGCTGGGCGGCTCGGCTGCTGCTGGGCGGCTCGGCTGCTGCTGGGCGGTCCGGCTGCTGCTGGGCGGCTCGGCTGCAGTGTAGTGGCGGGGCCGGGACAAGGGACGGCGGGGCCGTCAGGGTGCAGCGGCGGGGCCGGGACAGGGGACGGCGGGGCCGTCAGGGTGCAGCGGCGGAGCCGGGACAGGTGCAGCGGCGGGCCGTCAGGGCGTAGTGGCGGGCCGTCAGGGAGCAGCGGCGGGGCCGGGATAGGGGACGGCGGGGCCGGGACAGGAGACGGCGGAGCCGGCAGAGGTGCAGCGGCGGGCCGCTGGGAGCACCCGCGACTGAGCCGGCGGCGGGGCCGCGTAGTAGCGGGCGGCGGGGCCGCGGCTGAGCAGGCGGCGGAGGCCGCGCCGTAGAGGGCGGCGGGGCCGCGGCTGAGCAGGCGGCGGAGGCCGCGTCGTAGCGGGCGGCGGGGCCGCGGTTGAGCAGGCGGCGTGGCCGCGTCTGAGCAGGCGGCGGGGCCGCTTCGTAGCGGGCGGCGGGGCCGTGTCGGAGCAGGCGGCGGGGCCGCGTCCGAGCAGGCGGCGGGGCCGCGTCGTAGTGGGGCCGCGAGGAGGTGGTGGGGCCGCGACTAGACGGCGGGGCCGCGAAGGAGAGGCGGGGCCGCTCGAAGGGTGGGCGGGACCGCTAGGAAGGGCGGCGGGGCTGCGTGAAGGGCAGCGGGGCCGCGTGGGGAAGGGCGACTCGGGGGGTCGCAAAAAAAAACGATCGCGCGCCTCGGGGCGCGCTTCGGTGGGCCCTAGGCGAAGTTCCCACAGGGAACCCGCTCTATACCATGTGGAAGTAAGGAACAGGAATGATCAACTATGAAATGAAAACAGTACAAGTACCAACCCTAATTGGGTTGTACCCCTTATGTGCTACCCCACTACAGCCTACAACATGTATAAGCTATAGTAATCTGACACTAGCTAGCTCGCACGCACCGCGTTACCGTTTGCATGTTTCGCGTATAAATGTTCGCTCATGCCTTCGCTTACATCTTGTACTCGTTTGACACCTTAGTGCAATTCTCGCTACTTCGATTCATTGCACCCGTAACACTTGGTTATCAGAGCCTCTTTCTTTTCGGAACGCGCATCTCCGCACCCAGGAAATCAACTTTTGATTTTTCACTCGAAGGGACTCACGCACCTTAGCACCTAGGAGCCGCTGTCCTCGCGTTCTCTCGTAAACGCGTGCAGCCACGACTGCGCCTAGACGAATGCGGCCAGGAATCAGCCTCGAGTCACTATTTCGGTGCCGGCCGGCGAATCAGCTCTACCGTCGCCGATGCCGCTGAAGCCGCAGCGTCCACCATGCTTTGACCCAAGTCAGCGGGGTGGTCCTACCGTTCACGCGTGGCTTTTCACGTTGAACGTTTTCTTCGACGCGAACTACGTCTCGGAGGATACGGCGAAGATCCGTTACGCCGTGTCGTTGCTGCGAGGACCCGCCATGGACTGGTGGCGTGTCATCGTCACGAAGCCGGTGGACTACGCGACTCTACCGACACGGGAAGGACAAACCGGACCCTGGGCGCCGTCATATTTCGTAGAGGTGCCCCAATATCGCACGTGGGACGCGTGGTGCGCAGGTCTGCGCGCTCGTTTCGAGCCTATTGCGGCTTCGATCACGGCGCGACAGAGGCTCCGCACTTGGCGCCAACTCGGTTCCGTCCAAGACTACACGAGCGGGTTTCTGGCGCTATGCGAGCAGGTGGGATACATGCACGAGAGCGAACGCATCCACCGCTACATCGGCGGCCTGAAGCAGGACATCGCTCAGGAAATCCAACTTCGCGGCGTCAC